ATAAATGGTTGCATCCGCCCTAACTGGTTTGGCTCAGTGGATAGAGCATCAGCCTGGGGACTCAAGGGTCCCAGGTTCGATTCCGGTGAAAAGGGCATGTCGTGGTTGTGGGCACAGCCCCAGTAGGGAGTGTGCAGGAGGCGGCTGATCGGTGTTTCTCTCTCATCGATGTTTCTAACTCTCTATCCCTCTCCCTTCCTCTCTGTGAAAAATCAATAAAATATATTTTTAAAAGTCAGATGTTAGAGGGGTGTCACCACAGCAGGATTCCCGAGGCTGGGGCCTTACCTATCCCCCTGCCCGGCACCAGAGCCAGGTAACCAGGGGCAACTGTCTCACCTCTGGGCTGCCTCTGGCCAGCTGTGCGCCGTTGGAAAAAGGCTAAACCGCCCTCTGCCTCCATGTCCTTAACGTCCTCATCACCCCTAGTCTGCTCCTGTACTGAGTGGACTTTGAGGGACTTTTCAAACTCATTGTATTAGACGCCCAGTGCGCGAAATGCATGCACTGGTAGGGTCGCTAGTGGCTGCTGGCAGGGTACCCCCTCCCTTCCCCAGCCAGCCGCTCCCTGGCCGAACTCCCGGACAGTGAAGGGGGCAATTTGCATACTACGCTTTTATTATATAGGATGTTTCCTCTTTGCCTCAACATCCTCCATGGCTCCCAGGGCCCTAGGACTGAAGGCACAACTCCTCAGGCTGCCGTTGTGGGTGGGGCTGGACCCAAATGTTAAGGTTATCTTTTTGTTTGTTTGATCTATTATTGTTGATAGTGTTACAGATGCCTCCCATTCCCGGCCCCTCATCCCTTTACTACCCTCCTCCTGGCCCCTACCCACCCACTCCCCAGGTCTTCACCACCCTGATGCCCCTCCACATGGGCTGTGTATATCTATACTAATAAAAGGGTAATATGTTAATTCAACCGGATGTCTTCCGGAAGTCCTTCCTGACAAAGTCAGGCCCCGGCGAAGCTGCCTGAGGTCCCAGGGGAAGCCAGCCCAGATCCTAGGTGCTCTGGGCCAGCCAGAGGTAGGGAAGCCCAGGTCCCGGGTGCAGGGGCTGAGGCAGAGGGGTTAGGGGCAATCAGGCAGGCAGGGGAGCAGTTAGGGGCCATCAGGCAGGCAGGCAGGCAAGTAGTTAGGAGCCAGCGGTCCCAGATTGTGAGATACCCTTCGTGATCAGGCCTAAACCGTCAGTTGGACATCCCCCATCCTCCCTCCCCCCCCCATACAGGAATTTCGTGCAAGAGACCTCTAGTAAGCACATAAGCACTTTGGTTTATCTCTTCTCGCCCCTGCCCCCACTCCCACATGGAGGTATGTCCGTCTGTTCCCTGCCTCCCTGCTTCCAGTCTCATTCTATTGGTCAATTCACATTGTTCATTAGATTCCACCCATCAGTGAGACCATGTGACATCTGCTTTTCTCAGATCACCCAAACTTTGTTTCCCGCAAAAGCAACAAGGACCCCAGGTTCCGGGTCCTCCTGGGTCAGTGGCCCCTGTGCGCATGGGTGGGCGGCCCCTCAGCCCCTCACGTCTCCTGCCCCGTCACACCCGGTATCACCCCCAGAGCACCTTGGGTCCCGACACGGGGCCCGGGGTGCAGGGTTGGGTGTGGAGGTGGGGAGGCCCAGGGACGTGCTCACCTCAGCTGGGCGCCTCAGCGCGGCCGCCGCCGTTGGACCCAGTGGCCCGAGTGGAAGTGACAGCTGAGTGACCAGGGCGGGGACCCTGGCACAGAGGTCCTGAGGCTGGGCTCGCGGACAGCTCTGTCCCCGCCCCTAGCCCAGCCCCTGGAGCCCAAGCCCGAGCTGCTAACTAAGGAACCAGCCCATGAACCCCTCAAATGGGCGCCAGAACACTGGAGCCGGATTTGCTCTTTCTCAAAAGGGCACAGCAGGACGATTTCTGGGGAGTTGTGGGGGCTACTGGTCAGGGAAGTGTCTATGTTTCAGACTCAATGAAGTGAATCCAAGTTGACACCCACTGGTAGCTGGTAGTTTGTTGCATGTATCATCAGGGATCATACATTAACCGATATCCATGATGGGCACACGGTTCTCATGACGTAACGTGTACCTTGGCTTTGGGAATATTTTCTATTTCTTCTTTCTTCCTGAATTTATTGGTGACATTGGGTGATAAAAGTATATAGGTTCCCCTTCCATCACCATTTACACCCCCTTTACCCTCGTCTGCTCACCCACCTCCTTTCCTCTCTGGTAATCACCACCCTCTTCTCCATCCATCCATCGGCATCCCACCAGCTCACAGCACAGGGTGTCTGCAGGACAACCAAGGGGTGGCCTAGGGCGGAGCCAGTGAGATGCTGCGTCACTGAGTTCGCTGTGCTAAGTAGCCTTGCGGTGTGTGTGTGTCATAATCATCTGGTCACTCACGTTCAAATATATCCCTCGTTCAAAGGCTGTTCAATTGCGTTCTTTACCCATTATCTTCAGAAAAAAAAATCACTTCTACTGTCGTGGTAAACAACCTGCTTCCCTATTTATAATGGTCTGGCCCTCTAGCAACTTCAGCGCGAAATGATAGCTTATTTGCCTACAAACGTCAGGTGGTCATAATAATCTGGCCACTCAGTGTGGGTGTATGTGTGTGTGTAATTTTTTAAAAAGATTAAAAAAAATATATCACATTAACTATTGGGAGGTATTAACTGGGCCACTTCACAGTGTCACCAACCCTCTGCTAAACGGGCTTCTGTTGTGTTAATATGTATAAAAAGCTGACATTAAAAGTCCTTTTTCTCAGCAGTGTGTTTATTCAGGAAGAGAGAATTGTGATTGGGGACGGGAGGAAGTTGGGAGGGTTGTGTTGGAGAAAAGTGAGAGTTTTTGAGTGACAGTGCCTTCTGAGGGCGAATGGCTGGAATAGCTGATCTCCTGAAGGACATGCATTTACACTAAGAGCCAGAAAGCTGGAACCAGGTCCAATGTCCTCCGTTAAACGTAAACATTCACAGACAGAACGGTTCTCAGGAACAGAAGGAAGAAAGGACTTCACGCGAGTGTGATTGGTGTAATACCATGAGCATGAGGGAAATCAAAATTTAAAACCTTTGAGGACAATTCGTGACAAGTATCATATAAAATTCCAAAAAACACAGAGTCTGTGAAAGAAACTAACACCAGCCCCCCTGCTGAGAGCAGAGGGAGAGTAAAAAGGGCACGAGGTGAGAACAGCTGGTCCTTGTGGCTCTGACCGTGAGGGACACGCCACAACGCAGCAACTGCAACAGGCAGTTGGAACACGCAGGGAGGGCACGCCCTCTCGTTGCCGCTGTCTCACCGTGTCTTCCAGCAGATGACGGTCTCGGCCCAGCCCCTGCAGTCCCACCACCACGAGCGGCAGCCGCCCACTGGAGACGCGAAGGCACATGATCCCTCCGTATAGCAG